GTGTGTTTCCCAGCCTCTCTGCTGAGGTCCACGTACAGCAACATGAACCTCACCAAGTTTAACATCGGCCCCAAGGTCTGAGCGTGGGTCACACAAGCCAACAGCAGTTCAGTGTGCGGACTACTGCATAAGACCACTGAGCTCTGGGAACCAGGAGGATCACACGGCCTCAGGCTCAAAGCAGAACAGTCCTGAGGCATTCGCCAGCCAACTTTTCCTTACTACAACAGAAGACTTGACCCGAGTACTTACACTGAGAAAAGCTCAGTTAGGTATGGGAGTCACAGTCCACTATCAGTGGGGGCAGCCAGTGGTAAGTGACATAGTGGTAGCTTACATAGGAGTAAAGAATCACATGTCAGGGGACATATGACATGAAAGAGCACAGGTAGGGCCATGTTTACTCCTTTTGTGACAGACTTCTCCTAAGAACTGTCAAAAGGTGCTGTGAGAAATAACCTCAAGCCCTCAGTGATCTAAGAACCTCTGACTAGGTTCAACCTCCTAAACGCTCCCCCTACCAATAGAGCCCAGGTTTTAACTATCTCCTAAAGGTTCCCCCTTTCAATAGTGCCCAGGCTTTAATCACCTCCTAAAGGCTCCATCTCTTCCAATTGTCAGGCCTTTAACTTCAGTACACCAGAGAGACACAAACCACATTCACACACAGCACAAACTTGTCCTGGTCTCTGTGGAAACATCTCCAAGTGCCTTTCAGAGGCTGAGTGCCAAGCCCAGGCAGCTTGTTAGGGCACGGCCACTGCTATTTGTATAGGGGCAGCAGCTACAAGGTCTTGTTGACATCTCAGAAGAAGGTCTCTACTGTGCAGACGTTTCTCATCCCCGTGGAAGAACATCTGTGCTACACAATCCAGAACGGCGTTCATTGTCAGCAGTTTCTACAAGAGACCATTGCTCATGTGGTACCTATTGATGAAGCTTCTCTCCTTAATGGGGCATGAGAAAACAGCCTTCTTAAGCAAACAAACAAAAAGTTACTTTAATGTTAGATAGTGTTTCTTTGTTCATCTAAAGGAGAGGACTTTTACCAGAAAGGGGAGTAGGTCACTGTTAGAAGACAATAAAAATAGCTAGGTGTTGTAGGATACTTGTGTTGTGAAACTCCAAGACTATCAATAAAATTAACCTTGGATGGGGGACGGGTACAGAGCCAGTGACTAGCTGAATTAGCCATAGGGCGTATGGAGGACCCAGGGAGCTAGGTAGAGATAGGCATAGGACATATAGGAAGGGGCTTAGAGGTTCACGGTCCTTTTTTGTTCTGGGACATGTGCAGAGATACTTTCTAAGTCCCTGCTAGTCACTCTGAATTTTTCACTGGAATTATCCGACTCTTGGTTCCCACTCCTCTGTGGACACGCTGACCTAGAAGTCACACTCAAACACTGGTCATCAAGTCCACGCTGAGTTTCCAGCAGGACATTCCCTGCTGGAAACGGGAGAAAAGTTTCCTAAAGGATCATATGTCTGTCAAATGTGGTACATGAAGTGAGCACAACATAGGAGAGCTAGGGACAGTCAAGACGGCTCACATGGTAAAGGTGCTTGCCACCAAGCCTGAGGATCTCAGCTTGATCTCCTGGTCCCACAAAATGTACACACACACACACACACACACACACACACACACACACATGAACAATGAATAAATAAAACAGATGTAATTTAAAATGTATATGTAAAAACTATCTGCATATATGGAGGCATTCAGCCTTGTGCTGAGATAGTGGTGACAGCAGCAAGCAGCAAGATCACCAGCTTTCACTGCATGAAGGCATGGCGTATCAAGACAGCTAGCTACAGCTGCATGCACTCATGGCGTACCAAGACAGCTAGCTACAGCTGCATGCACCCATGGCGTACCTAGACAGCTAGCTACAGCTGCATGCACTCATGGCGTACCAAGACAGCTAGCTACAGCTGCATGCACGCATGGCATACCAAGACAGCTAGCTACAGCTGCATGCACCCATGGCATACCAAGATAGCTAGCTACAGCTGCATGCACCCATGGCATACCAAGACAGCTAGCTACAGCTGCATGCACCCATGGCGTACCTAGACAGCTAGCTACAGCTGCATGCACCCATGGCATACCAAGACAGCTAGCTACAGCTGCATGCACGCATGGCATACCAAGACAGCTAGCTACAGCTGCATGCACCCATGGTGTACCTACACAGCTAGCTACAGCTGCATGCACCCATGGCGTACCAAGATAGCTAGCTACAGCTGCATGCACCCATGGCATACCAAGACAGCTAGCTACAGCTGCATGCACCCATGGCATACCAAGATAGCTAGCTACAGCTGCATGCATGCATGGCATACCAAGACAGCTAGCTACAGCTGCATGCACGCATGGCATCCGGTTCCCGATTCTTATTTTTTGTTTGTTTATTTGTTTGTCTGTCTGAGACAGGGTCTCGAGTATCCCAGGATCTCACACTCACTATGCAGCCAAAGATAACAACCTCTAACTTCCCATCCTGATTCTTAGTCTTTACTCCAGAATGCCTGGATTCGAAGCATGCACCACCACACTCAGGTTAGAAACCAAAGCTTCACACACAGTAGGCAGGAACCCAGTCAGCTGAGCTGCATCCCTGTCCCCAGGTCTCTTCCTGTTCCATTTAACAGCCAATCACACTGTGCTGTGGGCACTGTTACCACTGCCTTCATTTTACAGGCACTGAAGCAGTTTTGGAGAAACTGAAAAGTCAGCACTCACAATAGGGCAGGGCTAGACTGGAGGCCCAGTCACAGGATGTCTGCTTCTGACCATCCTTTTACGCAACTGTGCTTCCCAGCACATGGGTGAGACATAGCACATGTTGGAGGTGGAAGAAAACAAGGTCTTTCCGCATCCCAACACAGCAGATGGAGCAAGGGAAAGCGGATGGAATAACGCTGCCAGTCATTCTGTCTTCGCTCCCTCCATCCCAGCTAAAGCTGTGGAACATCCGGGCAGACTGCAAATGTCTCACAAATTTAGCAACGGAGGTAGAACAGTGAAACCCAAGACTTGATTTAGAACCGTGGTGATGGACCCCCACCAATGCCAAGAGTCTCAGTCCCTCACTGCCACACTCACAGTGAAAATGGATGAGCTTGGCAAAAAGTAGGTATTACAATATATTTTTCCTTCCTTATTCCCAGTTCCCATTGGAAAACAAGCAGACAGCTCCCAGCTACACATTTCCCGATCTCCTTCCCTGCAGACAAGTTCTACTCAAGCCGCAGCTCTCTCGGCGGTCCTCTGCCGACACTCCAGCAGCCTGCTCAGTGCTCGACCTTCCAGTGCAGCTCCTCATGCTGTGGTGACCCCAGCCATAACGTTGGGGTTGTTACTTCATAACTGTAATTTTGCTACCGTTATGAATCATAATGTAAATATTTCTGGAGATAGGTTTGCCAAAGGAGTCATGACCCACAGGATGAGAATCACTGGAAATTAAAAAAAAAAAAAGTTTTCTGCATTCAATGTGACAGTAACACTATTGCTTGGGCTACATAGTGAATTCCAAACTGGCCAAGGGTACATGGTGAAACTCTGTATTTAAAAAAAACAAAAAACAAACAAACAAACAAACAAACAAAACAAAAAAAACCTAACCTACTGCAAACGATAAGACAGGTTAGTAACTTTAAAAAAAAATTCCTCCATCAAAGCCTTTGATGAAACACCTTAAATCAAACTTATGTAGTGAGTATGTGTGTTTGTGTGTGTGTGTTTTAAATAAGACATTCTGAGTAAGATAAAATGTTTTCATTTCAGACCCATAAGGTTGAGAAGAAGCTCACTTAAAAGTTAACGTACAGTAGAGCCCAGATGTGGGGTTCAAGTCTGTAATCCCTAGCATTGGGGAGGTTGAGACAGGAGGCTAGCAAGGCTAGCCTAAACTACAAATCATAGACTATGTCTCAAAACAAAAACAGCAAAGCAAACCAGGTCTAGTGAAAAGTTCCTAGTTGCAAGATATCTGCTTTGTTGTTTGGAGAGCAATAGCTGGGCTCGGTGAAAACCGCCATTCTTTGAAGCCTAAGCATTTCTCATTTGCTAACACACTCAATTCTCCATCACAACTAGACTGCGATTCGCTAATTTCAACCTACACTACAGGCGTCAAGAAACTATGAGGCATACGCCCTTAAACATGTTCAGGACGGCTGCTAGGCATCCGATTGCTTGCCCACGTTCACAGGGCAAACTAGCTTGCTTCCTGAAGCAGAACACCTGGATTCCACAACAGCAAGAAAGCTATTAGGCTTACTTAGTTCTTGAGTTGAATTCCTCAAAGACAAATTAACGGAACATACGTGTTTCTCCTTCCATTCTTCCGTATTTTAAGAAAAAAAAAATCTCTACTTTCTTTTTACTAGAGAAAATTTTTAATAAATCTTGAAAGACATCAGTAACTCATTTCGAAGACTGAGGTTTTGGAAGGATAGGCAGAGAAGAATGGGTGAGCAGAGTTTAGTCTGAAATTTTTAAGTTCCTGCACAGCGCGACACTTACACTACACTGTCTTTAAATAACAAAAGCTCCGGGAATGCCACAAAGCAAAGCGCCACACAAGGACCCGGCAAGGGTGCAGCAGGCTGTGTTAGGGTCATAAAAGGCTGCCCAGGCAGCATGCGAGCCAGAGTCTCAACCCTGCAAGTGCCAGGCTCGTTGCTGCCTCAGATGCATTAGTTCCCTAAGCCACCTAAGGTGGGTGAGCCACCACTCAAAAGCAGCAGAGAAACACTGGGCACTCCTAGGAGGGCAGAAAGTGAGCAGGGAATGCGGTGTCTGGGAGGGAAGGAACAACGCAGCGGGGGATGGGGTGGGGAGGAGGATGGGGCCAAGGCGCAGGGCAAAGGCTGCAGATAAAGCCTTGGGAAGCGAAGGGAAGCGGGGAAGAGAGCAGCCGCTGGTCGCGAGGTGACCACCCGGTGCGCGCAGCCGGGGCAGATAGTCGGGAGAGCGGTGTCACCTGTATTGTTTGAAAAGCTGATCCGACTCCCTGAAGCCGTTGTTGAGCAGCATGTTGATGCCAGCCAGGGCCAGCTCCGCGTCCTGCAGGGGCGCCGCCGCCGCCGCGTCCGGGTCTACTTCGTCCCTCCGCCGCGGCCGCT